AGAGATACACTGGTCACTCTCTGGTTGTTTGTCTTTTGTGTCTCTGTGTTGTCGTGGTAACAAGTCCAGGGTGTCCACTGCCTCTCGTCCAATGACTGTTGGCAGATGATAATAATAATAATAATAATAATAATAATAATAATAATAATAATAATAATAATAATACATTTTATCTTTTCTTAGTACTCAAAGATGCTTTACTGGAGTTCAATATAAAATCAAACGTTGCAACAGAACAGAAAAAGGACAGATTATACATATAGAGGAAAGAAATGTTGATGAAGATTCACACTGAAGTCATGTGCAGATATCAGCTGTGGGAATACTTGGTGAGATTGTTAGGAGTCTAACAGCTGCTGGGAGGAAGGATCTGTGATAACTCTGCTTAGTGCATTTAGGATGCAGCAGTCTGTCACTGATGGAGCGCTGCAGTTCAGCAACAGCTTCAAGTCTGGGGAGGAGGGACGATGTCCACCAGCATGGAAGATGGCTGATGCCTCCGTAGAATGGATCTAGTTAAAGGAAATGTTATTTTTAAGCTGATTTCCTCAGTCGACCCGGTTCTACTGGAACCAGAACTCCATCATCTGCTCCACTTCCAGCTGCTGTGGTTCGCTTTCTCTCTGCTGAGTCAAACCAACCTGTTCCCCTCCTGGCCTGTGGGGGCGCTGCACCAAGAACCACTGAAGGAAACGACACAGAAACCTCTGAAGACACTGAGAGCAACTTCCTTCTTCACCAGATGGAAACAAGATGGAGGCGTCAGGTTTTAGTGGTTGGAGGATTTGTCTTTAGTCTTTGGCTAAAGTCCAGGAGACATTTCTGCTGCTAGCGCTAGGCTAACACGTTAGCTTTAGTTGTATTTACGCAGAATGCCACTTCATGCTTTTGGAGCGGTCTCTGGTCTGGGAGGAAATCTGGAGGATTCGTCAAATTAAAACATGAAGACACATTTAAAGTTTCAAAGTTCAGATGTTCACTTAATAGAGGAAATAGTTTTAAAACTGTTTTTTGCCTAATTATGAACTAAAACCAGGATGATTTAATTCTGTCCTCTGTGTGTGTGTGTGTGTGTGTGTAGTTTTCAGGTGGCGGTGATGAGGGCGGCGGCCTCTCTCTGATGTCGCCGGGCAGCTGCCTGTCGCAGTTCAAAGCCCAGCCCTTCGTGGAGTGTCAGGGCGCCCGGGGAACCTGCCACTTCTTCGCCAACATCTACAGCTTCTGGCTGACCACCCAGAGCGGCACCGAGGGCGCGCTGACCGACTCCGACCAGCAGAGGGCGCACGTCGCCCAGTGCAGCGTCTGCATCCGCATGTGAGGCGCAGCAGGGAGGCGCTGGAGAGACTGGCGCCTTAAAGACCGGGGCAGGACGAGGCTTTTATTTTGAAGAGGAGAAACTGTGATGATCCCGGCTGCCGAAACGCTGATCAGGGGTGACCGGGAGCCCGGACGGGTCCTTTACCAACTGGAAAATGAAAAAATATTTAGTTTCATCTTTAAAATGGCCGAGCTTGTACTGACTTCCTGCAGATGGATTTTACCAAAAATAATTTGGAGAATAAATCCAGTAGGATGCTGACTGTCCTACTTATTATAGTTGGAATCAAGGAAACAGTCAAATTTAATCAGATTAAACGTTAAAAAAAATAACATAAGCAAAACATAATCAACAGCTTTAATGACTTCAGGTCCTCCTCTCTCTCAGTTTTCCCTCATCAGGCGTTAAACCGAATCAGAACCAGAACCTTCTCTAAAGTTCACTTCATACCCATAAACAGAAACTCAGGAACTTCTGGAGCTTTAAAAGTTCACAGTTCTGACAGTTCCAGCTAAAAACAGTTTAAAGTTTCTTAAATGTTGGCGAATCATTTCCTACTTAAATATTCATCTTAAATAGTTTTCTGGTTTTTATCCTCCTATTTTGTTCATTTCATTCATTTGAATTCAGCTGAATTTTTCACTGATCCCATAGAGAAATGAAATGTAACTCATCATCCAGTTTCTGAAGAGTCGGTGTTGATGGTGATGCTGCAGGCAGGAAGGATCTCCAGTAGCAGTCAGGGTTCCAACAAATCTGCAGAGGCATCTGACTGAAGACTGCGGCGGTGTGACATGCTAATATGCTAACACGCAGGCAGCAGAGACAATATTCCACAGCAACATGTCCTGGATGACATCTTCAGTTATTAGCTAGCAATGCTAATCCACCTCTTGATTTTGCTGCTCCTCTCCAAGTCTCTGCCTGGCCGTTTGGTGAGAGAGATGTTGGAGTAGAGGATTCAACGCTAAAGTCAGTTGAAACTCTGTTTGGAGTTTGAACTTCATCCATTTTGTTTGCCAAAGATCTCTCATTGGCCGGAACGATGGAGGGAAGAGATGGTCTGAACTTCCTCCTTTTCAGCTCCTCTGGGACCTGAGGTCAAAGTTCAGGTGTTAGCTTTAGACATGCTAACCTTCCTTTAACAAGCTAGTTGTGTCCTTTTATGGTGTGTATTTATGTCCATCATCAGGGGGGAGCCTAACGCCCGACCCTGGCAGCCCATTGGCTGTTGTGACCGTTCTCTCCTCCTCTCAGGCGCTAAGCCCCGCCCCCAGCTGCACCAGGAACTGCTCTCATTGGTTGGCTGGGAGGCAGCAACAGTAAACGAATAGCTGTTTTGTGTTTTGTTGAGAACTGCGTAAAAAGCTGTGAATATTTTTTCATATCTTTGATTTGCTTTAATGTTTTTGAACCAGTAGAAACATCTTCCTGTTTGTTTGTGTTCAGGATTTTCAGAGTAAAACAAAAGAATCAATTTTAAACTCAAAGTTCAGAATGTTATGCAGCAGAAAAGACCTGAGGTCCAAAACAAGGAAAAACCGGAACCAGAACTGCTCTAGAACCAGAACCGTTTTAGAACTAGGAGTGGTGCTCGTTGTGTTCCGCCTGCGTTCCTGTTGCTTTAAATCTGGTTTATGGGTTTTTGTCTGTTTTTGGTTCAGTTTTCTGGCTCTGGTTCTGTTGGATTCGTTAGTGACCTGTAAATATGTTTTATCTCAACTGTTTTATAAGTTTTATGTAAATTTCATCGGAGTATTTATTTAGCCTTGAAAATAATGGTGGTGCTATTTCATTTTTGTTTTTGTCTCTTATTTTGGTAAATGATGACAGGATTCAACCCCGCCCTGATCCTCCGCCAAAATAAAGCAATTATCTGACAAATAATGGATTTCTAACAATTTTTCACGTTGTGAAGCAGACTTATAAAATGTAGAAGTTACATTAAACTGGATAATGCCTAAAGGGTTTTACAGGACAAATAGTGACTGAAATTTAGATTTAGGAATAAAATCTGGAGGAATAACTGTTGTAAGACTACAATTCCCATGATCCTTCTGTTTTTATTTTGTTTTCATTCTAATTAAACCTGCTGGTTATATTTTATTCTCTGTAGGAGGAAACTTCCCACTAACACTCCTGAAACATTTCTATTTCCTGTAGATGGAAAACTCAATAAAGTGCATCAAAATGTCAGTCTGGCTTTTTGTTCTTTACTCATAAATCTTAAAACCATAAAAGGTGAATATTTATGGAGCTAAAACTGTTTCATAATTCCCAAATGCACTGGATGAGATTTACACTTGTATTTTCGATGCAAACACAAAAATACCTTGATTTACCAGCTGCTTCTGGCCTGTGAGTTGCTGCATTTGTGTGTGAATTTTGAGTTTTTGAATTTTTCCCATTTCTCAATTCACAAATGTCTTTTTTAATAAATGGTCTATCTGATTGGGTGATCAGTAACGAATCACGTAGCTTCCCTGTTTCAGCCAATCACATTAACCCATTCCAGCAGCGCTGCAGCTGTGACGAAGCACCAACAGTTTAGTCCTTAGCCTGGCTTCTGGCAGCGACAGAGGAGCAGAAAGTGAAATATCTAATATATTTATGTCCATGTTATGATTATTAATGTTAATTGATTTTATTGTGCAACTATCATCACTGATTTGATCTGACATCATTAAAGACGCTGCCTTTCTTTCAGTCCATATATTTACATTCTGCAGTTTGGGCTTCCATTCTGTTGCATTTTTACCTTTTATGGAGCTATATTGTGGTCATAAAGTTTGTTCAAAAGAGAAAAATGACACTGGGAAAAAATTTTAAACTGCGAAATTACTTAAAAGCTGAAAAAATAAGTTTGAAACCGGAAGAAAATAGTTGACTCTGAAAAGTAGTTTTGCATTTTTGTTTTCAGTTTCAAAACAATTTTCAGATTTATTTATTTATTTGTTTTTGAACAAACTTTATGGTTCCAATTTAGCTCCATACATTTCTAGATTGCTTAGTTTCAGACTTCTAGGCCTGTTTGGCTCCTCCGAGGACTGAAGGTGGAGAATCATGACTGACAATATGGAACCAAATTGAGGCCATAAAGTTTTTTCTGTTTTTTTCATTTGAAAATAGAAGATGCTGAAAAAATATTCGAGAATAAAAACTAGTTTTTAAACTGAAAAAAAACCTTGATTTTTTGAAACTGAAATCAATTTGAAAAGTAGATTATTAAAAAAAAAATGAATTCACAATTATTTTTGTTTAAAATTTATTTGTCATTTTCAAAATTTCATTGCAGTTTTTTTTATTTTTGAACAAACTTTTTATCTCCAGTTTGGCTCCATGCTGTCAGTCATCTGAGGGCCCGACCCGGTGACGAACGGCGCCAACGGTTTGAGGCAGAAAAAACCTTTGGATTAAAAAAAAATTACAACTATTTGAAATGAAGATTTTTGTTGTTTTTTTTTTCAAAAATTTGTTTAGTATCAATTTTATTTACATTTTCAAAAAATAAATTTTCAAAAGAAAACAAAGTGTTTCTTTTATTTCAGTTTGAACATTTTCTTCTAATTTTTAGTTATTCTGAATTTTGCATGTTTATATTAGGCAAACATTTCAGCATTAATAAAAAATTAAAACCAATAATTTTACACCAGATATGTACACGAGGTAAATAAAACACAGCATGATTTAATCTGATTTTATTGTCTTGTTAATCTTATTTCTGGACAAACGATTTATTCCAAACATTCAACACAAAGTAATAGCAGCAGAGAAATGTGCCGTTAATCTGAATTCAGTCTCAGCTCAGAAATGTTGATGAAACTAGAAGCTGCTCAGTCTTTCTGAATGTTTCAGCTCGACAATAAAAACATGAAAATCTCCTAAATCGTTTAAATTTAAAATGTTATTTTCATCTCTCTGCATCTAAATCGAACAGACGTCATGAATCAAACAGCTGAAAGAATAAAACACATAACAAACCTCATCATCACACCCAGAAGCTTCAACACTAGAATTAATGCTTTAAATACAGAAACTCAACATCAAGTACCTTTGATTAGATTCAACTTTTCATTCTCTTTCCTTGTGAGCCTCAGGAAAACTCTGACGCTCCAGTTTCTGGATATCTGGACGTTTCTTGGGATCGTCAACCAAAACTCCGGGCAGCCAGCAAAGGATATTAATCACATTTTATTAGCAATAATTGTAAATAATATTTAAGCCCTCTTGATTAAGATGTGAAATTGTAAATCACTTATTAAACTAATTTGTTTTACAGAGGTGAAAAAACACAAAAGGTCATGAAACTAAGCTCTAAGCCTGAAATGTTAATAATAATCACCAGTTCTGCTGAATCGTTTCACCAACACAGTACTTAAAAGAAGCTAATGCGCTGTGCTAACATGTTGCTTAGCATGAGCTAATACCAAAGTGCTAATTTCAATTCAAATATCTTCCCTTGAAAGGCTACAAACACCAACAATATAATTTACATACATATTCTAAAACTCCCTTAAAGTTGTTTTTATATCCATGTTTCATTTTGTTCCTGTATGTTTCTTGTTTTTAAAGTTTTAAGGGAGATTTTTAGGAGAGGAAATAGAGCTGCTGTGTAAACGGACTTCAAAATAAGAGCATAAACTTCTTCACCTAACTACTGAAGAATTTGATAACCAAAACTTCCACACAGATGTTGAAATTATTCAATTGAATGTTTCTAAATCAAAGATTTAGCTCTTTAGAATTTATCTGGAAAATGTGATTAAGGGGGAAGCTAAATGTGTCAAAGCTAGCAAAAGTGCCAAAAGATAAAATTAGCTCTGCTTTTAGTACATTAGCGGAAATGTGCCCACTACTGCTTTTTAGACGCATTGCACATTTTTTCATTAATATTTCACTAAAAGGGATTTTGGTGACAATGTTTGTGTGTTGGGGTCAGAGGTCAGAGGTCAGGGGTCGGAACTACAGACGATAAAATTGAGGAAAAAAAATCTACGCAATGGTTTCAAAAATGAAGGATAACTGCGACCAGGCTAAGAAAAAACATAAATTATGAGGATGAAGCCGAACAACATTAAAGTTGTAATAATGTGAAGAAACTTTATTTTCGTAACTAATTTTTTTTTTAGTCTGGCGCTAAAACTCCGTCACTTCCTGTTTGAATCGATCCGGGATCCAGAGGTCCGACCAGATCATGCCGTTCTGGTGATTGTATCTGACTGGTCCGGCACCGGGTTCTCCAACACCGACCCAATCCGCAGTCTGCTGACTCAGCACGTTCAGTTTTTATCTTTATAAATCCTGAATCCGCCCGTTCGAGTCCCAGATTCCAGGTTCTGAGTCTATCTGAGCCGGACCTGGGATCTGGGTCAGAACCTCAGAGGCTTTGGGAAACAAAGCGTCCATTTCAGTCAGAACCAGAACAGGTCCCACAGAGATCCGTTCTCCTGGTTCTGGTTACAGATAAAGTGCTTCTTTTTCAGAGGTTCTGCAGGAGGACCAGTGGGTCCAACTGGTCCTGCTGGCACTGATTCTGGTTTCCAGTTCAAACCAGCCTCTGGTTTTCATCTTTAACTGGGTCGGGTTAGTTCTGATCAAGAAGGAGGTCCGGTCCGGTCCGGTCTGGGTCAGAACCTCAGAGGCTTTGGGAAACAAAACATCCATTTCAGTCAGAACCAGAACAGGACCAGGGTCCAGAAGCAGCATTAACTCCAGCTCCGGTTCCGACCATCTGGACCAGCAGATCGGAGTTGATAATAAAAGTGAGGGTTCTGCTGGTTCTGAGCCCGGTTACAGAGCGTCGTCTGGGTTCTCCTGCGTGGAGGTTCTGGTTTTGCGGCGGCGCGGTCTGAGCGCGCTGACGCAGGACGAGGCGGTCAGGGCAATCCGGCTCAGGCCCACGTTCAGGCAGTGGACCTCGGAGGTGACCGGAACCTCGGCGAACAGGGCCCGGTCCCGGGACAGTGGGCCCGGTCCGCCGTCGCTCTCGATGTCTTTGACAATGTTCAGGATCTCCTGGCGCTCCGCCTGCCGGGTCATCCCGCGGATGTTCAAGATGGCCGACACGTGCTTCTTCCTGGAGGGAGAGCGAAGAGAGGAGGAGAATCAAACAGCAGAAAGATTCTTCTGACACCAGAACCGCTGAAGCGTCCTGGTAAAAACCCAAACAGAGACAACCAGCACCTCCATTGTCTCACATCTGGGATGTTTTGCAACCAAAATCACAGATTTTTGGCTCAACTTTAGAAATATTTCAAACAATATTGTAATAATTTTTTTCTCATTAGAAAAAAATCACAATATCGCTTTTTAACTTTCACATTTCATGAAGAAAATGTTTTTTACATATTTGCTAAAACTGTCACTATGTTGTGACAGTTTAACATGAGACAAATAATCTGTGAAATATCGAATTGCTGCTACCGCCGTCAACAAAATGCACTAAAACAACCAATCAGAGCCCAGAGGAGGGCCTTAGCGCTGTTAATCAAACCTCATGTACTTAAATGTGCAAATGATGGAGAAACAATTCACCATTCCAGAGAAACCATTTATCTACCATCATGCTAACTAGCTAAACGTAGCAGAGAGAAAGAGAGAAATTACGCAGGGGGATGAGTAACACCATACAGAGGGTGATTGGCAGCGCTAAAGCCTGCCTGGTTGTTTCTAATTAGCACTGGGAGAAGACAGCGGAGATCAATCTTTTCACAAATTATCTGTCTCATAACAAACCAACATGCTAACAGTTTGAACAGAGATGTAGAAAATATTTTTTAGAAAAGTTACTGTAGCTTTAAAACCCTGGAAAACATAGATATGGAGGAAAAATAGTTAATTAATTGGTAACCTCCTTGATTGTAATCAAATATCTCAGGGGTTTGATGTTGATCTGGGACTACGAGTGCCAGATCAAAGTTTGGAAATCAGGGAACATTTCTCAGAAGTTTAAACAGCTGGAGGAACTGAGTGATTCAGTTTGTCAGTCAGCTTCTCTTAAGCTGCTGATGTATAATTAAGGCTAAGAACAGATTTGAATAGAAATCAGAATTATTTTTACGTTATTATGTGATGCTAACACCTGAAAACACAAAAACCTTCTGACTGTTCAGAGGCAGCTGAGTCAGAAAATCCTGACAGGTTTTGTTTGAGGAAGATTCGTTGGGAGGAGCTGATCAAAAGCAAAGATCTGCAGAACTTTTTCACATTAAGTTAAATATTATTTTACATCAGCAGATTTAAGTTCAAAATAAATCAGTTTGGAAGCAGAACCGATGTAACAGGCTGAACATGGTATCATTTTTCATGTCTCGTTGCTTCTGTATTCATAAATGTTGCCGCAGTGAATAACTGCATGTAACATGATGCTTCGCTGCATTGTTTTGTCTACAACAGTAAAATAACTCGCAGCTCGTCTCGTAATGCTGGAGGAACAATTCATGTACCTGACGTCTGGAAACTCCCTGACCAGGACTCCCACCTCCATCTGGATGGACGGGATGTCCTCCAGCTGGATGAGCTCTGAGATGTGGGACAGCGCGCCGTCCAACCAGCTGGACGGAGACTCCTGCGACACACACAGACCGCACACTGACACACTCATATGGACACTTCCTGTTCAGGTTCTTTTGAGTGAGACGTGATTGGAAAGCTGCACAGTCCTCACTGTTTTCATCCACAAGAGGGCGCCACAGTTCAGGGAGGCGGCAAGTTTCTTTCAGCGTTGCCAGATTGGGTTGCTTTTTGTGGAATATTTAAATTTGAGCTGCTTTTCACAACATTTGTTGGGTTTTTAGAAAAGTTAGGAATATTCTTTAAAAATCTTGGTCATGTGTCAGAAATGCACAAAACGTTTAATAAAATGCTGCATTGCTGCACTTATTATTTAGTTTATTTTGAAATCTCTAGAACCTGTAAAATGTGACATCATCAGTGATTTGTCAGTGTCAATGTGGTAATAATGAAACACAGAAATGCCAACATCATGATTTAAAAGGTAACATCAATGTTATCTGGTTCTGGTCAGAATATAATAAACCAATAATGTGAATTATCACAAGTCTGAATGAAGTGGATCAATCAATCAATCAATCAATCAATCAATCAATCAATCAATCAATCAATCAATCAAATTTTATTTGTATAGCACATTTCAGCAGGAAGGCATTTCAAGGTGCTTTACATAATTAAAAAACAAAATAAAAACAGCATGTGACATTGAATAAACAGTAAGAAAGAGAAAGAGATTTTGGAAAAATAAAAAAAAATAAAAAAAAGAGATAAAAACCTTAAAAACATCGAAGACATCAAAAACCCGCACTCTAACCCTAATTTAGCCATAAGCAACTCTAAACAGGTGGGTTTTAAGTTGAGATTTAAAGGCTCTCAGTGTTTCAGCTGTTTTTTGGATGACGTCTGGGACGTCAGGTTTTAAATGTACCGTATTTAAATGACTTTTTCTGGAGCTATCCTGAATGTTGAGGTTTGGTTTTAGGAGTCTTTTATGTTCTTGTTGAGGTGGAAACGGTCAGATCTGGCAACCCTAGTTTCTTTATAGGGTGTACTGATGATGGCTTTTAAAGACCAGAAGATGCTCAGATCTTCCTTCGGGACTCACCAGGTCTTTGAAGAGCGCTTTTATCTGCCTCCCTTCGTCTCGGAGCCGGCCGGCCATCCTCTTCCTCATCTTCATGGAGGTGCAGATGATCCGGCCCCTCATGATGGAGCGGAGGTACTCCATCACCACCCGCCGGTGGACTTCAGCCACCAGCAGCTGAGGGAAAGACAGCGTAGATGAATCCAGCAGCTCCAGCCTGCAGGGGGCGCTGCAGCAGCTCCTCTCATACAGAGGTTATTACAGTTAAATAAAACAAACAAAGCAGCAAAAACGGAAATTAAGAAAGCAACTGAAATGAATAAAAATGATAATTAATGGGAGAAAACTATAACTGGTGCAGCTGATGATGATATTTGGGCACAGAATAAACTAAAAGTTATATAATACCCATAGTTTTTGTGTTTATGAATCTATTCTTCAGACTTTTGAATTCATGTGAAATAAATTTTTTTCCTCACACAGGCAGTTTATGTCAGCTGTCGGTAAATTACGGCGCATCGTTCTCCTCCTGGCGGCTACGCTATGCTACGCTAGCACACAAAATGGCGACAGCAAAAACTCCACAGTCAGCTGGTTGTTCAACAATAACTGGATAAATACTTTGAAAATGGTTTTTCAGTTAATTACCCAAATTACCTTTTTGAATCCTGCACCTAAAAATTAACCAAAGTATGAAAAAACTAAAACTACGTTCTAAACAAAAAAACTAAATATTTAACTAATAACAAAACTAGCAAATACACTCTAAAAACTAATTAAAACTAACTGGATTAGACAAACAAAAAGTCACAACAAAATAAAACTAAACTACAATGAAAAACCCATAACCATAGCAACCGTGCTACCTCATAGGGAGGATTGTCCATCCTGCGATATTTCTTAAAATCCTCCTTGATGGCAGCTTCAATCTGATCGTACGGCTCCGTGTTGGTCAGCCACTTCCTCTTCACCAGGCGCTCAAAGAACAGCTGCAAAAATACAGCCATCATCGTCATCATCATCATCATCACTTCTGATATTTAGCCGCTGAGAGGATCAGCTTTGGATGACACTCCAGTGAAAACACCACAAACTAACAAGTTTGTTTCAATAAGTCTAATCATAAAAAACAATATGCTAACATAGCTACCAGAAGCTAAAGCACTAATTTCAGCCATGTTAAAACATTTCTCCTTCAACAGAGCCAAATTTAATCTTTACTCTTCTTCCTGTCTGCTTTGTGTTTCAGGAAGTGACCTTTCACCCATGGTTTCAGTTTTACAGTTAATGAGTTTTGCTAACTGTTGTTAATTTAGCCTAATTTACCAGAAATCTGCAAATTTTAAACCACTTACTGTTGAACTGCAGCGATGCATTCTGGGTACAGAATAAACATCTTTAAGGGTTGAGAACATGAGGAGTCTCAACATAAAAGCTCTCAAAATAATTCAAATACATTTGGATTTTTCCATGTATTTGTTTAGTGAACTCCCCTGTTTGTTTTTCATGGAAGAGTTGTATTTTTCTATGAACCTCATTTGTTCGTTTGTTGCATTCTTACCATGTGCTTAATAAAGTTTAATAAAAACAGAACGTGAGGAGAGGAAATGGACAGACTTCATAATAAAAGCAAGAATGTAAACTACTTGAAGAACTCTTATAACCAAAATTTCAACGCAGATGTTGAACTTTATGCAACTGAAAGTTTTTCATGACAACCAAGAAAATTAGCTTTTTATAATTTCTATGGAAAAAGTAATTTAGAAGCTAAGTGTGATAGATGTTTTAAATGCTAAAGCGCTAAGCAACAGAATCAGCTCGTCTATTATTGGAATGATAAACGTGAAGCTGGAGGGGTGGAGGTGCTGAAGGCGGATGAGTTTCATTACCAACAGAACAGGCAGGAAATAAACTGAAATAAATAAGAGAAATAAAACATCAGTTCTAAACAGAGCAGTGATTTCTGAGTTTCTCTGTAAATATTATTACCAGATATTAATACATTTAATGCATCTGAGATGTAGTCTCTTAGACTCTGTGTGTGTGTGTGTGTGTGTGTGTGTGTGTGTGTGTGTGTGTGTGTGTGTCTTTGTGTGGTACCCTGATGTGCAGGTAGAGTCGCTCAGACAGAACCCTGACGCCCTGCTGGACGATGTGGTCCAGAGACTTGTTTGCTCGCCGCAGAGAGTCCTCACTGACTGACGGGTCACACTGTGCACAGCGCTGCACGAAACCTCTGCACACACACACACACACACACACATGCACACGCCCACAAGGAGTTTACATCGACTTCCGTTAATTTCTACAGCCTGACCCCATAAACCTAAACCTAACCTAAACTCTATTGACTCCTTAGACCTAAATCTGACCCTTGACCCAAAAACAGCGTTTCCCCTTGTGGGGCCCAAGCTTCGGTCCCCACAAGGATCAGTGGGTCCTCATACCGTAGTATGTGTCAGGAAAATGATCCCCACGAGGTATTACAAACAAACACACACACACACACAGTGCAGTGTGTGTGTGTTCAGTGTGTGTGTACACACACGCGTACGCACACACTTACACTCATACAGGTATTCATGGTTCATGACACCACTGTGACTTTTGGGGTATTTATAGGGACTCACTTTTTCCTGTATGTGGTGAACACAAAAATTATGTCAAAAATCTTTATTTATCCCAAAATACAAATTTCACTGAAAAATACAAATAGACTTTCAGAATAAAGAGACATTCAGTTTTCTCTTTCCTGCCAGTTTATGGTTTCAGGGGACTTTTATGCAGAATTAAGCAATCTGGATTTATTAATCCCAGTAGTTCTCTTAACTGGAAGAAAGCAAACAATGAGATATATTAGAGTAATAAACGATGCTGGTGACCAGGGAGCATATACAGCATAACACCGGAGAAAACTGAAGTTGAATCATTTCAACACCAAACTGAGGCCTCTGGGGCCCCATTAACTCCTAATTTATGTCCTTAACTCAGTATTTCCAAAACATGCCTAATATTGCTGAGCAATGTCATTTAATAATTCATTCATAATATTACCAAATTATTTCCAAACATAAACATAGCACAGAAACAGAAAACATTAGCATAACGTTCTTAAAGGAAAGATGGAAAAATAAATCATCCTGGTGATAAAAACATGTAGCAATCAGACATACAGTTTAAATATCTCCTCATTTAAACTGGGCTTGTATGGGAAGCCCAGTTTAAATGTGGAGATATTTAAAGTGTATGCTCCAAAAGTAGGATTAGTGCGTACCGGAAAGGAGGGCAGCAGTTGACCATGGCGATGGTTTTGGACACGTATCCGTCGTCGTTGTCCCCAAACATGCCGCTCTGCATCCCTTCATGGAACATCTCCACTTTACGCTGGAAGCTGAGGGAACAGAGCGACATTTTCACCCTGGCGCTCCACATCTTTAGGAATGAACTCTACAACATCCAGAGTAGCAAAAATGGAGCACCACAAATTCACTGGCTTCCAGAACTTTCATTGTTATTTAGAACTTTAAATGGTTTAAAGGAGATGGTATTCAGCCGACATGCACACAGAGAAGTGAGAAAAGTATTCACCCTCCTACAGATTTCTTCTGCTTTTTTCAACTTACTTAAATGTTTTAGATCAAACAAAGTTTTAAATATGATCAAATTAACCTCAAACATATGTTTTTAAATGATAATTTCACATTTCATAGGAACAAATATCCAAACCAAGCTGAAATTATGTGAAACGCTAATCACAGCTCCTTGTTAAACCAGGAAGAACGACCGTCATTAAGATACATTTAAAAAAATTTCTGAGCAGAACCGGACCTTAAGTCCAGTCACATTTTGGTTCTGCAGCAGGAAGAGGACCCAATACTCAGCAGTAAGTCGGCGTACCTGTACAAGAAGTCTGCCAGTCCATTCAGGCTGCACTGAGCCACCCGGGAGCCCAGACTCCTGTTGATGGACGCCGACCGCTCCAGATCTACCTGCAGCCTCTGAGACGACAGCAGCAGATGGTTACCATAGTGACGACTTTATTTATAAGGAGCTGGAGCCGTAAAATGAGACTTTCATGGTGTTTAATTGTGTTGAATTTTCTGATGTGCAGATGAAAACTGGTTAGGGTTGCAGTTATTTGCTTTGCCCACTAGAGAGCAGCAGAGAGTTGACCATATGCGTGTGTAAGTGTAAGTGTGTGTGTGTGTGTGTGTGTGTGTGTGTGTGTGCGTGAAATCAGGAATTGCTTAATGTTGACTTTGGCTGCAGCTGAAGGACGGATCCAGAAAACAAAAAGAACTTCTTCATAATCAACTCATAATTTGTTCTGATTTGTTCACTTGGTCAGAAAGGAAGCCCTATCCCATGTGCTGTAACCGTGGAAATGCTCTACCTGGATGACGGTTTTAGCCAGCGTGATGTGGTACTCTTCGACGTGCAGCGTCTCCATCCACCGTTTCTCCTCGTCCTCCAGAACCTGACTCAGCTCAGTGGTCACCTTTGCCTGCAGAGGGAGGAGCCGGCCATCAAATCAAAAGCACCTCAGATCATCTGCCTTTGATGAGTGGGAATGTCGCCCCCCGCTGGTGTATTTGAGCGTCTCACCCGGACAGAGTTGAGACAGTCCAGCTCCAGTCGGTCCACCGTCTCTGCAGGCAGCAGAGGACTCAGCTGGGAGCGGTTAAACGGACTGGTGATGCACACCGTCCCAAGAACATCTCTGGAAAACATCCAGCACACACACACACACACACATACACACACACACACACACACACACATACACACACACACAGATACACCGGTGTTCAGACTCAAGCTCAGCGCCTGATCCACTCCAGTTCAGTAAAACCCAGAAGATCAAAACACCTTCCAGAGTTTCCTGGTCATGAACAGGATTAACAGTTTGAGTTCAGATTTTTATCCATATTTTATCGTCTCAGGACACTTTAGTAAAAATTTATTCTAATATACAGAAATATGTTTATGTCAGTCATTCTCCAGGCCCTTGTTTCACATTGCACAATAGTTAAAATAATTCTGGATTTAATTGGATGCAGCAGGACACACACCTCCAAATTGCACCCAGGCTTGACTGTGCTGGTTGCTATGAGACCAAAGAAAGTAACGACTTATTTTGGCTAAAAGGCGACGCAGCCAAGTTTGTGTTCAGCTACTTTCCTTCATGTTTTAGATGAAGTGAACTCTGGTTCGGTTTGAATGCCCATGTGAACACCAAGCGGACCGGAGACCGCTCCAAAACAGGAAGTGAACTATTGCGCAGGATCTTCTCTACAAATGGTTGAGTCAGCTGATCAGCTTTAGCCCAACTGTTCAGGTGACCCGGTCATGTAATCAGATGACCCGGTCTGGTGTGAAGGTTTCGGGTCTCCAGAACCAGCCAGTCCCCACCTGCTGTAGATGTTGTACAGCCAGTCCAGCAGAGAGTAGATGTCTGTGATCTCCAGCTGGTTGTCGGTGATGACCTTCAGGCGCCTGGCGACCGCCTGGTGGTAGCTCTCCACATACACCTGGTAGGGGTCAAAGGTCAGGGTGATGAGTGAGAGCCTGGGGTGGACAGGTCCAGTTCGGTGTCCAGTCTCACCTGGAAGCCCTGGAAGTCTTCGGGGTAGATGGAGACGACATTCCTCTTGGCCGCTCCCAGGTCCTCCACTACCCTGGCTCGGAGCCGGTCCAGGTACTTGTCCAGCTCTCCAGCCGTGAACTCTGCCCTCTGGGGCAGCGAGGAGTCAGCCGCCTCCTCCACTGCCTCCCTCCACCTCTGCTTGAGGTGGCGAGGCCTGGGGCCCCCAGGGGCCGCCGCCTCGCTGAGGGCCCAGGCTTTATCTGCTTCCTCTTCCTGCTGTAGCACCTGGGGACAGGAAGTTTTTCCTCTCTTAGGCCTGAAATGTCACAGGAATGTTCTCCACATCCACCTGTTGGCCCTCACCTGCACCACCAGCCCCAGGTTGGGCCCCGCCGTCGGGGCCCGGAGCGACTCCCTGACCACGGCCCACAGCTCCTTCTGCAGCTCCTCGTACAGCAGCTCCACGTCTTTCGCCTTCCTGCGGCCGCCATCTTTGACGGTGGGGCCTGCGACATCCTCGGGCTCGGCGGCGTTGCACTCCTGCTCCAGCTCCAGGATGTGGGTGTCGGCCAGGAAGAGGTCACGCTTCTTCACCAGCTGCAGGATCTCCAAGACTGGAGGAGAAATGTTTCATTTCAAAACCAAACTGAGTCCAGAAGAAAACAGACTAAAACACTCCCCGCCCTGTTGGATTCCAAGATGGCTGCCAGATTTTACTGCAGCTGCTAAAATCTTACTGAGGGTGTTTAAACCTTGTAACCTGTGAAACTGAGTCCGAACATGATGAATCAAACATTATGACAAATGGCAGCCATCTTGGAATTAAAGATGGCTGCCGTTTCATCTTTTAATTGCTTTTGCTGAAACAAAGTGTGATTTAATTTCTTCTGCATGTTTTTATATAACAGCTTGGAAAACCAGCAACAGAAAAACTTGAAATGACTTTCAAGTTTGTAACTTTTATTAAATTTAAAAAAAGAACATTTTTGTTCAAATTGTCTCCATGTTTAATATGAAACAGAGAATCTGTGAAAAGATCGATCTCATCTCCCAGCTGCAATTATCATCTGAAAAATGCAGAGCTGCTCCAAGGTGACTCTTTCACAATAAAAGTCTGGAAGGTGTGCTGGAGGAAGCGGAGCTGCCAGATGTCGTCCTGGTCGGAGGAAGAGGTTCACGCAGAGGAAGAGCATCTTTCCAGGCAGAACAATGCCAGCGGATCCGCTCAGTTTCCAGCAGACTCAGTCTGGTTCTGAGACTCAGTCAGAACCACACTGATGATTTCAGGGGCTTTCCGGCGTTCCACATATCTGCATGTTTAGAACAGTTTATAAACAAACAACATGGCTGCAGGAAACAGATCAACTTCTGGTTCTGACTCGAACCTCAGGGTTCTGATGTCGGCTCAAAATTACTCCTCAGGATTTTCTTGGTTTTTATTCTAATCACAGATCCATGCAGATGATGCTCAGATTTACATGAAAGAATAAATATCTTTATTAAAGGTACACTAAAAATCGGTGGAAAACTAATTGACTGACTGATGCAGCATTAATTCCCCCAAATGTTGAATAATGTGAGAAACATTCAGCCTGAATGTCCTCACTTTGTCCCAACACGCCTGATGCCGAACCGGCCCGGTCCCTACAGGCTCACACACACACAGGGTGGGACCTCTGGATGGAGGGATACACACCCTCACATGTTAAGGAACACACACTCCTTACGTTACAGTGTGTTAAAGCTCTTATTGTTCAGTTTGGGCCTGCAGAGGAAATCTGTTCCAGCTGGCAGCATTTAGCCCCGCCCACCTCCACCCTCTACCTCACCACCACCATCATCACCACCATCATCATCATCGCCATGGTGAAGTCAGAAACTCGTTGACTTCATGTCAGAGTAACATCCTGTTTGGACCAATCAGAGCTGCCGCTTGTCTCGTCTATACGCTCCCATTGGTCGGTTCCGTCCAGAACCAGGATCCTTTTCTGCGGCGGTTCTGTCCCCTAAGGAACCGGGCCAAACCAAGACCAGTTGAGACCAGAACATCTGCTGGATGAACAGAACCAGACCGACCCGACTCAGAGCGGGCCAGAGCAGTCGTATGGACTGACGTCAAAAAATCCACAAAATCTTTTTTTTTACCAAGAAATGAGAATAAAGACATTTAGTCGCTTTTCATTTTCATTCAGTTTAAAATTCATCAAGCCGAACGGAGAATCCACATCATCACACATCTAGACGATAAACACACTCTAAGGCGCTAGCAGCAACATTCAGCTAGCAAGCTGAATATTCAAACAAAGCATGTGGTTTATGACTAATATGTTATTTACAAACTAAATATTTAGTTTTAAGAACAAAGCAAATATCTAGTTTGTAAACTTATTTGTTTTGTAAGCTTTACAAACAAAAACATTAGTTCCAAGCTAGTTATTTAGCTTGCTAAGTAAATATGTGGTTAGCTAACTAAAAGCTATTTTCAGCTTTGCAGCATCACGTTGCTGGAAGCTGCAGGTAAGCTGAATGTGGGTTCATTAAACGGTGCGTTCAAGGTCAGATTCCCCAGTGGGACAGAGCGGCCCGTCGTCACGGCGACGCTGCAGCAGAACAAACGGCGCTCTGTCTCTGGACCGGCTCTGACCTCGCTCACATGCTAGCAGGGAGTGTGAAGGTCACAGAGCATTCTGCAGGCTTGTAACATGTTTGTGTCTCCAGGTGTCTCCACATGACTCCGGGTTGTTTTCTGCTGCAATCAAATGAATCTGGGGGATTTTCACAATAAAAGCGCCTCATGGATCATGTGATTCTCCAACAGAAAAGGTTTAGTTTGATTTCATGTCAGCAAACTGAGGAGGCAGGTTTGTGTTTTTTCATACAGAAAAGGGGATTAAAAATCAAAGTCATATAATCACCACGTTCTACATTCATTTATAAATGTAAAACAATTCAAACTAAACGTAGTTTGAGGCCAAATATGTAGTTCAGCTACTAAATATTTAGTTTGCTAATTAAATACTTAGTTCATAGCAAAATATTAAGCACGCTGGCTAAATATCTGACTTAGGTTGTGATGAGAACATGTCGTCTCTCTGGGCTAAAAGATAAAAATTACTGCTGTTATTTCTGGTTGTGCAACTTTTCTGCCCGCATCAACAAGCGCAGTTTAAACGGAGAAACGATGAAGCAGATTTCTGTTCTTATTCGTTTGAGGGAAGAATTTGTTTCCTGATTTGGATCTGAGATGAACTGAAGCAAAACGTCTCTGCTGCTGGCGCCGACCCGGTTCTCTGATTCCATCACCGTAGCGTCCCAGCCAGGTCACACCAGAACCAGAGCAGAACTGGGCCCGAAACCATACCAGAACCAGGCCAAAACCCGACCAGAACCAGATCAGAACCATATCAGAACCGGAACAGAACCAGACCAGAACCGGACCAGAACTGGACCAGAACCAGATCAGAACCATATCAGAACCGGAACAGAACCAGACCAGAACCGGACCAGAACTGGACCAGAACCA